ATAATTTATTAATTCCATTTATTAAATATAATATTGCATTCTTATTAAATTCAAAATCCTTCATTTAACGAAAAATCTCCCAGATAATTAAATCTTACTTTATGACACCTAATAAATAACTCGCTTATCTTTCTAGTTTCGATGTTAAGACCGATTTCGACAATATTTCGATATACAGAGCTCTCAAGGCACATAATAAATCAGCCACCCCCTTTGCACCCACATTCGTAATTCGCTGGGAACTAAGACACAGAGACGTCACAAAAAGCCATTAAAAACTATAAGAATCCAGACCCAAATTATTTGATGTGCATTAACCATTCATTTTATTATTATACATTCGAGCAATTACTTTATTATTTGTATCCAGTTATATAGTCTGTACCTTTCCTAAAACGCTAATTCCTAAACGACGTCTATCCTACAATACCTCCTATTCCCGAAGGTGTCAACGTCTCGACGCCCAACGTCCTGCCGTCCTACTTCGTTATCTTTCTACGCTATCACTTTTAACACAACTTTAGTATTTCCTACCATTATATTCATCCCGACTCTCAACGTCCAGACGCCCTACTTTCTACCTATCCGCCTAGAACGCTGTCACATTCCGCACCATCTAATTATTTCCTACCTTACATTCGTCACATCGTTCTACTTGACGCTTGCCGTCCCTAAATATTTCCTTCAAAATATCCTTGTCGACACCCTTCATCACGTCCCTCGCCACTTAAATATTTCTACCGTATATCTGTCCCAATGCAGTACCGTATTAAATACAGTCATCTCCATCACAAAGCAAGGCGACGCTCAACGCTGCGACATACCTAAATCGACGCCGTCACAACGCTAAATGACTTTAGTACATAATCTAATTTCTGTATTTTCAGTGGTGAGTCAAAAGATTTATTTAACTTTCTTTGAGATACCACCTGGGTCGTTTAAACGTAGGGCCTGACATTTTCTTCAAAATATCAATGTAGTCAATAAACCACATTGCCTTCAGGTCATATACACCCCGAAAGACAGGATAAACATCTGTTTTCGATGGATGAAATTTTGAGTATTTTAATAGAAATTATAAAAATCAATATTAAGAAATATACAGGGTTGTATTAAGTTATTTCAATAGAAATTATAATAATCAATATTGAAAAATATACAGGGTTGCATTAAGTCATTTCAATAGAAATTATAAAAATCAATATTTTACAAATATACAGGGATGTGCTATCTTGGATAAATTGTACAAACCAAGATGGTAAAATTAACAGTAAGTTAACTAACTGGTGAATACACTTTTCGTTAGCTCAAGGGGGGACACCTATATGCTAAGCAGCCCGTTCTACTAGGTTTGAAACAAATTATATGTGAAATCAACATAGTATGGTAACCAACTGGCGAATTGGCGCTGTTCGTTACTTCCGTTGGTCATCGCCTCTTTATATACTCGTCGACATATTTACCTAAGAGGGTGCAACCTGTGTATATCTAGAATATAATCAAATGAACAACACAGTAGTTAACCAACTGACGAATTGGCGCTGTTTGTTAACTCCGTTGGTCATCAACCCAAATAAAATATATAAATTGATAGCAAATGAACGTGGTCTGCGTTTGAACAAGACTCAAGTAAGATCTCAGTAAATAGTAACAATTGTAATATATTTTGCTAATTATTGCATCACATTTAAAGTATGAAAAATAAAAAGAGTTTAAATATGAATTTGTATGTTTTATTTATCAATTTGCACTAAACTTTGCATCGAATCCTGGTTTACCTTAATTAACCTTATCACAACGTGGGTATATAAATTATCAATTAATTAACTAGACAATCACTTCTACTACTTGAGGAAAATGGCCAAATACAGTAAGTATAAATTTAAAGTAAAACTTGTGAGGTAAATAATAACATCTCAGAGAGTAAAACAATGAACAAAATAGGGGGTACCACCGGGAGTGGGCCGTCACAGTATGTTAGATACCCAGATAGCACACCAAATCCTTTGGATATCTACTGAACATCCCAATATCCACTGAATGTCCAGTCCATGGTAGATATCTATTTTATAGACATGCAAATGTCCATAAATAATAGTAATTATATAGCAAATTATTAAAAAATTACGCCATTGTGGCTAATAGTACCGTTCAGATATTTAAAATTAATTTTTTTAAGGTGTATTCAATATCCCATGAACATCCACTAGATATATCAAAGTCTAGGCGTGAACGCAAACCATCGTGAATATCCACTAGATGTTATTTGATTCTGCTTACTAAGTATAGATGGCGAGTTCGATCGAAATTTGTGTACTAATCACTCCATTAAAAACTGGAGTTGAGAATTTTCATTTATTGCTGAAGAGTCCTAATAAGGATGACTTTCTCCTTAGTGGGCAAAATGAAAGGCAGAGTGTTGAAAATATTTTTTAGCTCTGCTATTTTCTTTCGACGTTATTCAATAATTATTGGTTACTTATGAACCTCTACTAAAGATACCCATAAAATATTTTGCTGAATATCCGAATATCTTCTATATCCTGGGATATAGACGGACATTTGGTTGGATATCCATATTGGATATATTGAATATCCACAAAATATATTCTGTGGATATCTCTGGGATTTCTTGTATTTTCTGGAAGATACCTATTAGATATTTTGCTGAATATCCATTAGGATATCTTCTATATTCTGGATATTTGGATATCCATATTATCCACAGAATATTTCTGATATTCTGTGGATATCTCTGGGATTTGGTGTGTTGTCTGGGTAGATGTATGATAGTGGCGAAGTCTGAATAAGCCAACTTGCTGAGCAACAGATTGCATATAGAAGCCTCTTCAACTTATCTGTAAACCCCCTTGTAGCGTTAATTAACGTTAGTTGCACATTAGACGAAGAGCATTACTTAAGTCAAATTATACCTTTATTTAGCGAGTTGTGCTGAAAAAGTGGTTTTGTAGTCCCAAAATACACTATTCCTCAGCAATTAGAAATACTTGCTTCTTTGTCTACAAAGTCACTGTATAATAACAGCTATTCAAAAGCACTTGTTTTGCCTACTTTAGGACTGAGTCCACCGTTGTGTTAAACGAAGTTTAAAATGACATTTTTACATTAACAATGTCATTTTAATCTCCGTTTAACACAACGGTGGAATCGATCCTTAAATAACTAAGCTGATTGTCTTCTCGTGGTTTAGCTGTTTAGGCTAATTAAAAGAGAAAAGAGGCTTATATTGGCAATTAGACTTTAACCTTTTGGTTGAACATGCAAAGTGCTACCATAATAGTTTAACCTATTTAAATTGTTTGTTAGAGTATGTTATGTTGGGAATGGGGTGTTAAATACACTGCAACCTAAAAGATCTATTGTGCCCGTCCAATTCTGTCGCTAATGCAAAAAGAAATTCCTTTAGAAAGGTTGTTATTATAAAGCTAATCGATATTTTAAAAGAAAATGTAGAATAATCTGAATCTTTTAGTTGAACATTTATTAATACTCAAACTCATTTTCCTTAATATTTAAATAATTAAAATATTAAAAATAAATTTCCCTGTTTTTAACACTCACATTTAACATGTTTTGTTGGTGTAGAGCCTATAGCGCGTTTGTCTTTGAACCTGATGGTCGTGAGTTCAATCCTCACCAGTTATTTATTTTTTTAAATTTGATTTTTTTGTTTGTAAAATTAAATAAAACTTAAAACAGTGTATGAGCCATTAATTTGCCATTTGAGTATTCTAACCGATGATCTTGTAAGTTATTTTTAAGATGTACTTACTAACAAATATTTTTATGCCTATCAAAAAATTAATCCTAGAGTAAGCAGGCACAATATACACAACATACTTTTGCTAGTCAAAGCCGTGTCTGTCAAATTAACGTAGTAAGATTTGGACATAGCCGATTTGGATTCGGCAATATAAAACTATATACTTTTAATATTCTGTGATCGTAGAAAAAATCTTGTGTGTAATTCAAGCGGAAAGCTATTTGCCGCTTACGATAAAATGCCGCACTACGCTGCGCGACGCCCTGCAACATTTTATCTTAAGCGGCAAACTACTTTCCGCTCTTAATACACAAATAGCGTGTCTCATCTTGGTAATCTTTGTTATAACCCCAGGACTTCCTATCGACAATTCAGAGACTATTTTATATCACGAAGTTTTTCAATAGAATATATCTGTAATAATATATTTCTTTAAAACCTGTAGTGTTCAACTATTTCTATCTTTTTTTGAGCCTGTGTAAATTTACAAAATATACTTTAATCAAGGGATATGCCAAGTAATGTCCTTTTCACGAAAAGAAAATCCTCGTTACTATAAAAATAATACTGTTCTTTCAGGATGTCCTTGGGGTATTATATATAAAAAAATCCTTTTCATGAACTAATAAATAAGGATATATCTGTTGCAAGCCTGCAAGTAAGGTATTAGGATATTTGGGTGAATTAATAATTTTATTGAGGGGGTGGGTGGCTCAGTGGTAGTCTCTGGCTGTGGATCCAAGGGTCCCAGGTTCGAATCCCACCGTTGACTGGGATTTTTTTATTTAATTTAATTATTTAAAATTAATTCTGATGCCTTGGTAGGATTCCCCACTTGACCATTCACTGTAGGTTCTAATTAACAGTGCTGTTCCTAAAGTGGGGCAAGGAAACAGTAACAAGGCCTGTAAGTAGGGGTGTTATAGTACTAATACTCCTGCACTATGGAGTAAGACTACTAGTACAATCCATAACCTACATAGAACATTAGGCTAATGACCTTAGATGTTGAAGCCATACACCAAAGAAAAAAAAAATAATTTTATTGGATTTTGTTTCTGCAGTATGTTTATGATTATATTTGACATCTGATTTCATGAACTTCCACATATTATTTTTTGTTGTATAATTAAGTACATACAGATAAGATGAAGATTAATAATAAATCTGGTTGCCTACTTACTGCTACTTCTAAGCGAACAAACAATCATTAATTATTACCCATTTTTAATAGAACCAAGAAAGGACAACTACCCATATTTTTATGTTCATTTAATGAAATACATTCTACAATATATAATTTGTTTTAATACAACCTACAATTACAACACTATCTATCCGTAACCATAATAAAAACCTTCTTCATAAGCCTTATCAATATCAGTGGAATTCCTTCTTATTCTTCTGCCAATAGGTTCCAGATCAGCATAACACCTATCAAATACCCTATCTATAGCAATCATAGCTTCCTCTTTACTAACATCCCTCGCTGCAATAACAGAACTCAATGCTTTGTTTTTGACGCAATTCTGATGTGCTTCTTTGATGTAAAAGAAAGAAGCGTCACCATTTAAAAATGCAGACACAAAACTGCAGTGAGCCAAATTGGCAGCTCTAATTTCTGTACATGCTAAATGATCTAGATTTTTGAAGTCTAAATTGTTTCTACAGAAGTCGAACATGTGGACCATTTCGTGCGTCAGCACAGCTTGAACTAGACCCACTTTTCTAGCTGTATTTTGGCAAATTACTACCTATAAATAAACCATTAATTAAAAATGGTAACAGTTAAAATAACTACATGTTTGAACTTACTTGATTCATGATGGGGTCATATCCACCGCTGACTGTGGGGGCGCAATCTTCACATGAAATGTGTCTTCGAATATCGATAGCACAACCAGAAGCTTTAAGAGCACCCATCATTAATTTCACCAAAGGACTTTCTTTAATGCAACGATAAACGTTTCTTTCGCACCTAATTTTATCTAGGTTTTCTTTCCCTTTGCCAGTTAAATAATTTGTAACACTGTTGGAAGTTTCTTGTCCGGAACGTCTATCCGGGTACAAATCATAACCCCATTGACTGCCGTCAGTGGGTATTGATGTTGGTGGTTTGTTGTTAGTTTTATCAGGTTCTTTAAAAGGAGTGTTGCCTATTAAAGTCATCTTATTTGAAGATCAACAAAGAAATGCACAAAATTTAAAATTTACATAACCTATAACATCATAACATAATTCTTCTTCTTGTTCTGTTCCTTTTATGGGCAATGTCCTTCGGGACAATTCACCCAGCTTTGATCATAACATAATTAGGCATTCCAACGACCTGTCCAGTGTTGCCCCTGCCAGCACAGATCACTTATTTTACTGCCAGTTTTTCTATGGCCAGAACCATAGAAAAACTGCCAGAACCCACATACTTTGATTTTCTTTTACTATACGGAGAATGGTCGCACTGCGCAGCTTTCTGAGTGCCTTTTAAAAGGAGATAGAAAACTCCGCCATTCTGAACCCTTATTACGTGTTGCCTACATCTTGGCGCAATATTTTTAATAGGTGCGTTTTAATCATCTGCTTCTGCTTCGGAATTGTCGGTTTTCTTGTTTTAATCTGACAGGTTAGAACGACTGAACCGACAATTCCGGAAGCAGAAGCGGATGATTAAAACGCACCTGATATTTTGCTTGCTGCTGTCAGTGTCAGTGAATATTATTTTTGGAGTCACAGTTTATTGCTAAAGAATCAGTTAGCTCACTCGGACCAGTTGAAAGTTCCAAAATAACATCCACTCCAGGAATACAAATTCAGGATACGCAGAAGACTGCTGTTTTATTATAGGCGGTTGTCATATATTGTATTATCTGAGTTGCGCAGTGTATAAACTGGAACAAGTGCCAAATTTTCCTTTTTTCGCCTTTCCCACCATTCATAGGTTTCGGAAAGATAATTTAAGTTGAATATTATTTTTTTTATATACGAATATGTTTTAATTTTTGATGAACGATTTTGATACTTTAGTCGGAGCCTTTAGTAATATTTCAATTAGTGAAAACAATTCAGATATAAGTAATATGACGCTAACACCTTGTAATTCTACCCCTCAACGGGCCCAAATCAATTGGGACCTTTTCAAATCTAAACTAAATAATATTAAACCTTTTAATGGTGAAAGTGATTATTTTAATAAATTTATTACTAAATGTGAGAAGTTTATTGATTCTTATAAGATTTATAATGATGTGGAATTAAACATACATGCATTTGAGTGTGTACAAGAAAAATTAGAAGGTCGTGCCGAATTTATGGTAGGCCCCAGATAGCACAAAGTCGTCTTAAAGACGTCTTTAAGACGTCTAGCATAAGACATTCGAGACGTCTTTAAGACGTCTGGTATTTCCTGAAAGACGTCTTAGAAGATGTCTGATGTTTCAAAAAGCGACGTCTTATTAATGGCTTATATTGGTCTGTAGAGCTTAAAATAAGCCATAAATAAGACGTCTTTAAGACGACTTATTAATAGCTTATAATGGTCTTGTAAAGCCTTAAATAAGCCATAAATAAGATGTCTTTAAGACGTCTTATTAGTGGCTTATAATGGTCTTGTGAAGCTTTAAATAAGCCATAAATAAGACGACTTATTAATAGCTTATAATGGTCTTGTGAAGCCATAAATAAGACGTCTTTAAGATGTCTTATGAACGTAGGACGTCGGATATCTTGGTTATTAAAAAGTAGAACAACATTGCAGATTATAAAATAATGCAAAAAAACAGAATTAAAAGTTTTATTGATAAAACATCTATTAAACACAGGTCACTAAGAGTTATTTTCTTTATAGTGCATTCGATTACTCCTCTTTAGCCATAACTGGATTGATTTTTCTCTTTGATTTGTAGTTGCCTTTGTATAGCTCCTAAAAAGAAATTTAGTTAAGAGCATCTAGTCACAGAAAATTATACTTTGCAAAAGTTAGTAAAAACCGACAGAACATTTATCTATAAAGCAAAACAAAAAATTTATTTCTTAGACTTTTAAATCAAAGAATTTTTATAATCATTTAATGCAATATGAGCTATTATGCTTAATCGCCTACTTTAACAATTTTACTTTAACTTCACTCAAAATGGCTATCTAATAGGGAGTTTTTGATATTATTAGTTCTTAAAATCTCCATAAAAACAAACAAAAATGATGCTTGACGAATATCTGAATTAAATCTTATATTAAGATGTTTACTTTTAAATTAATTTAATTATTCTTAGAAGAAACAGGATATTAATGTTCTATGTATATAAACATTTTCATTTATTACCTGTATTCCAAGAACACGTGCTACATCGGTAACACAAAGTCGCTTTTGGTGGCTATAATCGTGTACGCAATAAAATAATCAATAATCCACAATGAGCTTGGGCCATACAAATTTTTGGCTTGTAATGTATTTCTTCTTTTCTTCGTTTTATATGGGCTTAATCTTTTCACTTTTCCACTGCACTTGATATTTGATTTCAATTATCTTCTCCAAATATTACACTGAATATTTTGTTTAATTTTGTATACTTTTTAAATTCGGATGGTCACTTTTATACTAGATATTTTGTGATTTTTATGGGATTGCTTGGCTCCTGATTCAAGAGCGGCTAAATGCTGACCGACGTGCACAGTTTATTTACTTTATTTTTCGTCAGAGGGCGCGGCTATTGCTGATAATTGTCAAATAAAATTGTTGAATTTTGAAGTGTATTATCAACACGTGCAACAAACATTAATGCCTGGTTGAATGTTATGGGATCACCACAACATTATTTATATGGTAATGGTCATGCACATCGGGCATGGCAAAATAATCTCTGCAAAATTAAATATTCTGAGAGAAAAGTTTGGGCATATAAGACTTAAAAGTATTTTTTGTGCTGATAATAACATATTAGAATTTGGACAATACTTTAAACAATATTATGGAAATAATTATAAATATTGGGCTTTATATTTCCATAAAGATTTTGGAATTATAACACAAATATATGTAAAGTAATAAAGAACAGTCATTTAGGGTGTAGAGTTGATTAGTAAATTGGATAAAGGGTTGAATGCTGTTTTGAAATTTAAGAGAAAAGTTGTCGATTCAAAAAAAAAGGTAAAACCACAAAAATAAACTAATATAATAAATCTTTATAGTCTCGCTCTTCTCTCTAAGTTAAGTAAAAAGACAACCTCAACCTTGACATATATTGTAGCAGATGATAAAAATAAAATGGAACAATATATTATGTCTCAAAATTATCAAATGAGATATGTTGTAAGTTAACTTGTAATTTTTGTCATAATATATGTATACATTTTTTTAACTGCACTTGTTTAGATTATTTAAGACAAAATACAATATGCAAACATATTCATTTAGTATTGCTACATTATGCCAGAGATAACAATTCTGAAGAAATTGACCGTAACTATGTACGAAATAAATGTGATGAAGACAAGACTGAAGTAAATACTTATTTAGGATATTTTGGACAAAATATTTCAGCAGATGCAACAAGTTAAGGCACATTAAAAAAATTAAATAAAAAATCAAATTTAATGATATGCAGAGCAAATTGGAAAATTCTTCTGACGAAAATGTTCTCGGGTAAATTTTTGAATATTTGAAGAATATTAATTTGCTCTTAAACTATGACAGCAGCATTAGAGAGTCGATATTCCTTGTGCAATCTCTGCAGGAATTAATGAGCCAACAAATAAAATAAAAAAACAATTGGGTCACCTCAACAAAAAAAGCAATAATTATAAAAAAAACAAATGTAAATGAAATTATTAGAAGTGGTCTTTAGAAGTTTCTTTATTTATTAGTATGAGTAGTGGCAATGATCATATTTATTTTTACTTCTAAATTATATAAGAATTTTATATATTATGTATTTATTACATAAAAAACTGTTATTTATATATTTTAATAAATCGACTATAATGATTTTAAGTGTATTTATATTATACTATCAATTCCCAATATTATTATTATTATTTAAATTGTACAAATAAATTTGTAGTGATTTTATTTGTTAAAATTCCTAAATTAGTGAACTACTGATACTTATTATTGGTTATTTTATTTATTCCCACCAATAAAATGCATAATTATTGGATTATTTATTAACTCATATCTAACTTAATAAAATATAATAATTTGAAATATAATTTTTGAAGCACTGTATGATGTGTAAGTGTAAGTCAAAATTATCCATTAATTTAAAAAACCGCGCTCAAATACACGCTCTCTAGCGGAACACATAAGAAACAATCTGTGCACGCCGGTCAGGATTTAGCCGCTCCTCCCGATTCGGAGAACGCCATTTCAATATTGCCACGATGGTGTCCGAATCGGAAGTCCGGCTTGAATGTTAAATCAAACGTCAAACTTTACTTCATTTATGATTCTTCTTGTTCAATTTGAATTATGTAAACCGTGCAAGTTTCCGTCCGACTGAAAGACGTTTGTAAGACGTCTTAAAGACGTCTTTGAGCTTTCACATTAATATATGGATTTGGCAAGACGTCTTTAAGACGTCTTAAGAACGTCTTTGAGCTCTCACATTAATACGTCTGAATTATGGCTTTTAAAAGACGTCTTATAAGACGTCTTAATAACGTCTTAGGACATTGAGACCAAACCAAGACACAAAAAAGACGTCTTTCAGACGTCGTGTGCTATCTGGGGCAATAGAGTAGAAATTGATACTTGGCCAAAATTAAAAAATGCCTCGTTACAAGCTTTTGAAGATCGACGTGATCTTGATTGTCTCGTCCAAGAACTAACAAGGACTAAACCTCTTAAAGGTGAACACCTTATTAATTTTGGCAGTAGATTACAATTAATTAAAAGTAGCGTAGTACAGAGAATAAGCAATGATCTTTACATTGATCAAAATGATAAAATTTGTCAAATTAACCATTATAATATGACAGCCTTAAATACTTTTATAGCTGGTTATAGTGGAATTCTAAAAAATAACATGCACCTTAAAAAACCAGATTCTTTAGAGGATGCTAGGGCATACGTAAAAGAATTTAATAATTTCCAAGATTTGTACGGAAACATAAATGACAGAAAATTTCAACAAAATGGATTTTATTCTAATAATAACAGACAAAATTTTTCAAAAAATAATTCAAATTTTAATCAAAATCACAATTTTAATCAAAATAAATTCCAAAATTTTGTACCAAATAATCAACAATTAAATACACGTTTTCAGAATTTCCAACAAAATAATTATCCAACAAACAGGCAAAATTTCCCTAGTCAGCCAATTAATGTAGAACCCATCCCACAAAATAAAAAATAT